TTTTTTTTTGCACGTTTGTTTTTACCGGCATGAAGTCGTTTTATGACTGACTGCATTCCCGGCCCCAGACTCATAAACTCGATCAGCAGGTTTTTGGTCAACAAAGTTTCCCCAAGGCTAGATCTGGAGAGGGAAGCATGAAGAGGGATCATATTGTGTGTATAGTGAGTCTTTCCCACCAGTAGTGTGGGGAGTTTCCCTTCATGGAGAAGGAGCAGATGTTTGGAGGGAGCGGTCGGATAGATTGAAGGAGGAGCCTGAGGAGAGGAAAAGAAAGCCAAAGGGAGGGGCTGGATGTGTTTGGTCTTGAGCTGTGAGGAAACAGCAGACGGGGAGTGACCGCCGGCTTCACACACACTCAGCCTTTCTCACTTTTCTCTCCTTGTTTGTTTGTTTTTTCCTGGTGGAGCGTATGCAGAAGCTCCCCGCTGACACCATGGATAACTTCCAGACTGTCCTGAGGTTCTTCTTGAACCAGAAAGCCACCATTGGCTACAGCTTCATGGCTCTGTTGACTATAGGCGGGGAGCGGATTTTCACCTTGGTCTCCTTTCAGTGTCCCTGCAACCACGACCAGAACTTCGCCTACGGGCTGACCTTCCTGCTGGGCCCGGCGGCGGTGCTGCTGGTCCTGGGTCTGTTCTTCAGCACCAAACTGTGGAGGCTCTACACCGGCTGCTGCCTGAATCCCATGAAGCTGTGTCCCCGGGGGAACTGCTTCGGCTGCCTCCGAGCCTTCACGAGCATCTTCACGGGGGCGTGCGTGGCGCCCATCATGTGGCTGTGTGTGGCCCTGCTCAACGGGACCTTCTACGAGTGTGCGGTGAGCGGGCTGGACGACAACCTGGTGGTGGATCTCTTCTGCAAAAACAAGACCATGAAGTGTCGGGAGGAGCTGGCCCGGGTGCCCTGCGACCGCTCCAAGCTGTCGAGCGACGAGCGCATGGAGCTGCTGCTGATGTTCAGAGCTCAGTCACAGGTGAGACGCACGGCCTGAGGAGCCGACCAATCACAGGGAGGCTTATCCAGCTGTCAAGTGTCACCTGTAGATCTGAGTGGAGGAGCTTTAGTGTTTTTAAAACAGCTGCTACAGGACATAATTCACTGAAATATGAAAATATGAGGTCACCTTTCGGATTTAATTTATCAAGGAGGAGTAAAAAAAAAATGTTTTTGATGTCATAGTGATGTCATAACAGTTCATCCTTGGGTTTTCCAATCTGCATTAAAGGGGGGCGCTTGTGGTGCAGTGGTTAGTGTGCGGTGTCATGCATCTTTTCAGAACATTGGAACGAAGTGGAGATGTGCATTTTACTAGTTTCAGTGTATTTTCTGAGAATTTAACGAGCACTGTGCCTTACGACGGAGGATTAGGGCCACGTTAAAAAAATACAAAAATAAATACATTTCAAGATTAAACTCGTAAATCTACGAGTTTGAGACTAGCCTGCACGAAAATGATGAAAGTAGAACTCTTAGGGCGCGGTCTCACTGGCCATCCGTACCGTGCCCAGGCACGCTTCAACGCTGAAGTCCAGTTTGTTTGGCCAGTGTGACCGCTTAAAGTCTTTAAAGAATAGAAGAATAAACTGGTTATTTTTAGTCTATATCAGAAGAGCAGCAGCATCCTGTTGGAGCATCTTGTCCTAAAGGTTTCACTAATAAGGAAATAGGATACTTCCTTGTGTAGTCGGTAAAAATAGTTAGTTCAAGAGAAGTTTTCACTTCAACTTGTTTATCTGTAAAATGATGAACAGGACACAAACTGTCTCTGCACATGAGACACTTTAACAAGGCAGAGCGATAAAAGATGAAAAAAGTTGTGTTGGGGCTTTACTTATGCCAATATGAAACTAAACATGCTTTTGGCACATCATCATCTTCACATTGTCATAAAATATCATCACCCTGAAAAGATACTGCAAGAAACTGAAGAAAGACCCACACTGACTGGCAGGAAGTTGTCTGCAGAGGAAAATACTTTAAGAGTTTTACTTTCATCATTTTGAGCAGACTGGTCTCGAACTCGTAAATTTACGAGTTTAATCTAGTAAATGTACGTTTTACCGTGGCCCTAATCCTCCGTCGTATAAAGGAATCTACACTATCATTGTATATATTTCTTAAGGGTTAGGGTTAGGGTTTTGCTTTCTCTCATCAGTTTCTACCTTCCCCGTCTCTCCACAGATCCTGGGCTGGTCTTTAATCATCATCGCTGCAGTCGTCGGCCTCCTGGGAACCTGCTACACGAACTGTCGCTCCAAAGTCAGCTACCTGCAGCTCACCTTCTGGAAGCGCTACGTGGAGAAAGAGAAGGAGCGCTTCGACGCCTACGCCATGGACTACGCCACCAAACTGGCAGAGAGGAACCTGCAGAGCTTCTTCGAGAACAAGGCCCCCGAGGCGTTTCCTTTCCCGAGCCACAAGGCGTGGGAGGAGATCTCCGCGCACTACACCTTCTCCAGGAGCGAGCAGTGCTACAGCACGCTGCAGCGCTGCGTGGAGAGGACGGACCGGGAAACCCCCCCGGAGAAGAGACCCGTCCTGGACTCGGAGTACGGGATGGAGATGCACTGAAGGAGGGGGAGGAGGAGGAGCGTGTGGTCTTTGTGTCAGTTCATGAAGGAGGGACAATCAGTGAACAGAGCATCAGTGTGAGGATACACACTCCCCACTGTTTAACTCTTAAATCTATGACATGTTGCAAGTTTGACTCAGGAAAAGTTCTCCTCTGTGACTAAGCTTCCCTTTCACTACAGTCCTCCAAAGAATGTAACCGCTGCCAAAAAAACAATAACACAACCTCCTGTAAGCACATGAGAGAATGAAGGGCTTAACCACTATACCTTATATACACTTTAAGTCTTAAATGGTGCATGGATGTTACTGAGGCCGTCTATAACTCTACTAATGCTGCTTTGAAAACGTTGTCTTCCTCAGATATGCAGAGTAATTTACATTTGCTTTAAGAAAGGCAATCAGGGTTGCAGCTCTGCCTGAACAGACTGAAGCTGCTTTGACTTTATTATTTCCTAGAAATCAGGGATTTTAGTGACATCGGTGTTTCTGAACAATTTAAACTTAAAGTGTCTGTCACCTTAAAGGGATAGTTCAGATATTTTGAAATGAGGTTGTATGAGTTACTTGTCCATAGTAAGTGCTTTAGCCACAGGAGGAGCCGGTCAGCTCTGTTCTTTTATTGAGGAACCAGTCGGAGTGCCGGCACAGAAACAAGGCTGTACATGGCTCTGAGGGGGCAAGTATTGAATAGGACAGATATAGTAGGAAATTGGGGAGAGAGAGAGAGCAGGAAATGACCCGGACACCCACATGGAAGATTACAGCCAGTGGCGGTTCTAGACCACTTTTACTGAGGGGGCCTAACGGGGGCCAGTTGTTTTGTCAGAGGGGAATATTAAACCCAGGTCAAAAATAGACAAAGATGATTGCTTTAAAAAAATATCTAAATGTTATGCCAAATAATAGCGCGCATCATTAAATACCATGATTTATATTTGTCTCAGTAAGAGAATTTAATACTAGACTGTGAGTCCGGTTGTTGAGTCAAATACTGTGTATGTGTTTTGAGGGGGGCTCTTCCTTTTGGAGGGGGGGGGCCAAGATCAGTGTTGGCCCCTGCCTAGAACCGCCCATGATACAGCCTCCATACGTGCGACGTGACCCAACTGCTAGGCCGATCTGAACCCCCTAATTTGTTTTTTGAACAAGGTTATAAACAACTGCTCCCCTTGTCATCATTTTTATTACTCCTAATACTCACTTCATACAACCCCACTTCAAACAATCCAAACTGTCTCTTAAATGAGCATTGTGTGGATTTAGCATCACACTTTGTAAGTAGTTCCAGATAGCAACTACTGATAAATGACACCCTAACCCCCCTCCTCAGAGCATTCTAAGAACGAACATTGAAGTGCACCAAATATGGTCACTTCCGGTTACAAAAAAAAAAAAAACCCAAGATGGCGACAGCTAAAAAATGCAGATCTCAGGTTCTTTGTTACAGTGTTGCACAAACCAAATTTGTGACGTTACTTTTGCTATATCGTCATTTTATGAATATACCACTTCATCGTAGCCCAAAACCAAACTGTGTTCTGTTGAGTCCTGGCTGCATCCCTCCCTACTCACATTTTCTCTAAGAATACTGTATAAGAGTACAAAGTGCATGAAATGCAAAAAACTTAACCATGATAATGTATTAAGTGTCCTTGTTTGGTGTGATATGTAAGAATAAATTAAAGCTAACCACTCCAAGCATGCCTCTGTTTAGATGTTTTCACACATACACAACACTCCTCAAAATCTCCTGAAATGTTAAGAGTGAGCTTCAGCTTTAAGGACACAAACAACAGAATATTCCTCCCTGAAACTCAGAATGTTCTTGCTAGCCCCCCTTGTGAAATGTCAGCAAGAAGTTGTGGTGAGCTGATCTTAGCCTGCTTCACGCTCTTATCTGCTTACCATTATGTTTTTTTTTTACCACTTGTTGTTTGATACGTCCAATTACACACAACATAGATATTAAAGGCAGACTGTCATCATAGTGTTGGACTGTATACATCGCGTCTTGCCTCCTAACATCTATTCTTCATGACATGTTTTCCAAAATTTGCTGAATGGGCTTCGTTTGGAACAAGCGGTAACAGCCTGGTTAAAAAAATGATATTGGTCTGAATAGGTCATGTAATAGCTCATATCTCTATCATCACACAGTGGGGGGGGGGGGGGGGGGGGGGTGTTGCTGCTGTTTGTCAGAAGGCTTAAAATCCGCCTCAGTCCCAGCTCTGTCGCTTAACTGACTGAAAGTTAGGTTAAGACAGCGCTTCGAGCATAACCAATGAGTGATGTCACTCAGGCTTCATTCTTTACAATCTATGGTTTGGAAAAGTGCTTTCTATTTAACAAATGACATTTCTTCACAGTGCTACTGATGGTGTCATGGCAGAGAAGAAGTGAAAGAGGATGTGCAAGAAATGTAGGTTCAGAGAAGTCATTAAAACGATGAAGTGTTTATGGAGAAGTAAGCCTGTGTATATTCTATGTTGGTGGAACTCTAAAGGATGCACACAGTTTGTTAAGGGGAGGGGCTCACCCTAATTCAAACATCAGTGTGTCTGTTTAACCTCGCACATTTTTTGTTTGTTTGCACAAGCTCACAAAACAATGTTTGAGTCCTTTCCATGTTTGAACCCCTCACATATGAAGTCCGAGGTGGTCTCTCTGTGCAGACATGAAGGCAGCGGCTCAACCTTCGGGAATGATTGCTGTGATTTATTGACAGTTTGTGCTCAGTGCGATGAATTATTAATGTAGGTTTACCCTCTGCTCCACACACAGACACAAAGCTGAGTGTGTGTGTTTGCATGTAAACTGGTGCAGGTTGTACAGAGGGACACACCCTGCCGCTCTTTTTTTTTTTAAATATGATGATTCATCGACAAGTTGTAACTTGCTCAACAAAAGCCCCCAGTAAACTACCAGTGTACAGTATAACAGCATACTGTTTGACGCTGTTTACACCCAGTGTCACCCTAGACCATAGATTTATATAAACATGGACGTAGACTCAGTGACGTCAGTCATTGCTTCTGAAGTGTACACTTTTGAAGTCGCCATATCAGAAACGTTGACTTATACTAACTTTCAGGCGAGTGAACAGGAAAAGATGTGGATCTGAGGGATTTCTTTTCTGCTCTGAAAGCGGGCAATTTTGAAGGGTGGCTGTAGCACAGTTGGTCGAGTCATTGCCTCTCAAACGGAAGGTTGAGGGAAGGTCCCCAGCTGTCCTTGGGCAAGACACTTAACCCTGCATTGCTCCCACTGCTTCGGTGGCGGTGTATGAATGGTATTAGTTACTCCTGATGGATGATATGTGTAGGTGTAGCCTGCAGTGCAGTGTAAGAGTGCTTTGAGTAGTCAGAAGACTGGAGAACAACTATGTAAGTCTAATTAACATTCCATTTTATGTGACTTGCAGGACTTCTGCAGCCAGCCTGGGCACTCACAGAATTGAAGGTTTTTGCACATGGCTTGTGTTGTGTTTTAGCAAAAGCTTCTCTTTTCCAACTGCTGTCTCCAGTGATCTCTGGGACCTTCTCAAACCACTCCCTACACCTTTTCACTTCCACTCTGTTCATCTAACTTGCTAAAATAGGCCTACCAGGTCCAACAGAAAATAGCTGTAAGGCGGGGAATCGGCACCTACTGTAGCAGATTCAGACATACATACTCCCTCCAACATACTAGAACAAGAGAAGTCCAATTAAATGGCCCAATCAAGCTTGGACTGTAGCTCGACTTATCAGTGCATTTAAATGTCCTGAATCCATCGAGGTGCGTATACACCAATCGTTAAGGGTGTGATCTGATCCGACAGGAGGGATGTAAATGAAAAGTGTGAACAGGACAGGAGACACACTCAGAACCAGAACACGGACAGATACATGAATCAGTGGTTTATTACAAAACATTCATATTTACAGACTCCATCACAGACCTCAGCAAAAAATCAAAGATCCTCCGAGGACCTCCACGTTCAGGGTCTGGCACTTCTTTTTCCACCTTTCTGGTCTTTTCAAACCTCTGACTCTCTGCACATTATTTACATTAAAAAATATCAGAACATCAGATTCTATTAAATGTTTTTTTCTCATATAAACTCCACATGTTCTTCTTCTGCACGGTGCGTGACAAACTGATCAGCTGTTCTTCAACAGCTGTCTCACACCATCGCAGGCTCCTGTCTCTGAACTCTGCAGGTGTTCTTTTGTCCACACTGTCCCTGAAGGCATCACGGCCCCTTCGCTGTGTGTGTGTGTGTGTGTGTGTGTGAGGAGTTCTCAGTCTGAGTCACTCTGTTCGGCCGCCCCTCCTGACCCCGCCTCTTCATCACTGAGTTTGTCCCAGTCCTTCATGGAGGCTCCCATCATGAAGTCGTCTCTGAGCACGCTCCACGACGGCTTCTCATCCTCGACAGGAGCAAGAGTCTGACACACACACACGCACACACACACGCACACACGTTACTCAGTCTGTAACAACATTACAGTGACACCATGTGGCGGCTCAGTGTAAATACAATATAAACAACAGTGTGGCAGAGAAGTAACATCTGTTAAACTTTAAAGGAGATTTCAGGCATTTTGAACATTGGTCTCTGTTTTTACTTAAAGGGATACTTCACCCGTTGAAACATGAATCTGTACTGACATTGGGTCATATATGTAGAAATGTGAAATACATTTTGAAGTTGGTGCCTTCTTGACCGAGAAAAGGCAGAAAGAGTGTTTTTGGCTCATGTGGATGATAACAACTCCCAGAATGCTCCGCCCCAGCTCGAGCCGGCCCGGGCTCCTCGTCCTCACCGCCGCCGACAGGCAGGTCTTCTGCCTCGGCTGCAGCGGCCTCAACTGCTCGTCGCTATATTGCGACTCGTAGAGATAGTCAAGAACATCCGATTCGAGCACAAGAACTTCAAAATCCCCTTCATGCATATCAGCTTTTTTCTCAACTTTTGTCCACAGAGCCTGTTAGCGTAGCTTCCAAGCAAGAGATAGACGTTAAGTCCTAACCACAGCAGCCTCCGATGACACAAAATGACGATTTTTGCGTCACTGGAAGCTCCTTTTCAGACTTACAAATACAGATCTTTCCAGTCTCAGGGGAAAATGAGGGCAGGATGCACGACCATTCAAAATTACTACCATGTTTCTATTGATACAAAGCTTAATGCAAATGGGTGAAGTATCCCTTTAATTAAGGGTCTAAGTTTAAATTGTCTAAATGAAATGTACAAAAGAGTTCAGAGAAATTAGAGCAGAGTGTTTTTTTAAAGGATAACTCCCACTAGGTCCCAGTTGTATCGTACCATGCTCAGGCATGATATAACAATATAAACATGAAATAAACAGCCCAGGATTAAAAACATAATCATAATCTCAGTTTAAACTCACTTTGGGTGTTTGGCTTCCCTCGCTCCCCCTCAGGACGTCAATGAAATCTTTCTTTGAAACTGAAGACAAAAGCTTCGCCTTCTTCCTCTCCGATCCTCCAACCTCCTTCACCTTCTCATCCACCGTCTTCTGATGCTTCCTGACGGCGTTGAACAGCTGCACCACCCCCCTGAAGCAGAGTTAGAGGTCAGTCCGCTGTGCGTTCATCCGTGATGTTACACCTCGAGGTAGAGGAATGTTAACTCACCTGGTGGCCACTCTCTGCAGAGCTCTCTCTGTCTCTCTGTCCTTCACCACGTCAGGCTTCACTCTGCTCATCATTTCCCATGTTCGCTTCTTATCCACCTGAGGACACAGGTAACACATAAACACACATCAACACATTGCATTATTGTATTAACACTGTTTTTATCAAAGCTAGACATCGACTCGAACTATAAGTGTTGGGAGATTAACTCTCAGCATTCACAGTGAAATATTAGCACGTGTCACAGATTAGGATGATTGTAAATCAGGGAACCTGTTTCTGTCTCTCCAGCTGCTCCTGTCTTTCTCTCTCCTTCATCTTCTCCAGCGCTTTGTTCTTTATCAGGATGATGCTCTCGCTCTCCGGAGTCTTCTTCCCCAGGATTTTTGCCATCGCATCCGCCCAGCCGGCGTTCGGGTTACCGTCTCCTCCATCTTCAGCCTTCTCTTCCTCCGCTCCGTCTTCGGCATCTGCCTCTTCACCATCATCCTCCTCCTCATCGGCTCCCTCTTCGTCCTCGTCCTCCTCTCCGTCTTCATCCTCCTCATCGGCTCCCTCTTCGTCTTCGTCCTCCTCGTCGGCTCCGTCTTCATCCCCCTCCTCTTCTCCATCACTACTCTCATCTCCGTCCTCCTCTACTCCAGATTCACTGTCGTCCTCGATCTGAGGCTCTGCGTCGTCTGCTAAATCAGAGAAAAAAATCTGAATTAATACACAGAAATAGAATATCAGCTGAGCTGACAACAACTGCAATACAAAGGATGTGTGTTAAAATAGTAATGATAGGCTTATATTATGGAGGACGAGATCTGACAGAAGTATAAATAAATAAATAAATAATTAAATGCGTGAATAGATAAATAAAAACTGGTAAATAAATGGGACATAAATAATTAAATGTCTTAAATTTATTTATACATTTATTTATTCATTTTTTTTATTTTTTTATTCCAGTATTTATTTATACATTTATGTATTTCCACATGTATTTATTTCCACATTTATTTATTTATTCCAGTATTTATTTCTACATTTATTTATTTCCACATTTATTTATTTCCACATTTATTTATTTATTCCAGTATTTATTTCTACATTTAATTATGTATTCATTCTTTTATTCATTTATTCCAGTATTTACTTATACATTTATTTATGCATTTAATTATTTATTTATTATTTTATTTATTTATTCCAGTATTTACTTATACATTAACTTATTTATTTATTTATGCATTTAATAATTTATTTATTCTTTCTTTTATTCATTTATTCCAGTATTTACTTATACATTTATTTATTTATTTATTTATACTTCTGTCAGATCTCGTCCTCCATATATATTGTCAAAAGCTGTTATATTGTGTTAATTATAGGACTCTGCCTCTCTCCCTGTCTGATCAAAACAACAACATAAACATAAACATGTAACTGCAAAGTAAACATTAAAAACATGTTAAACATGTGCTGCTCTCATGCTAACAGGACTAAACAAACACATTAGCCACGTTAGCCTCAATGTTATTTAAATACATTTTATTTTTATGTGACTGGTATCACGTGTTTCTTATTGAACCATGTGATTCTGTATTTATTCACTTTAAACATTAAACAGTCGAGCTTCAGTTTTATAATAAAGCAGAAGCTAACAGGAACAGTGTATGCTAACGTTAGCCATGTAGCATAATAAAGCACAGCGTTAGCATACAGCTAGCTGGATAAACAGCGTTTATTTATAATAAGTTAATAAGTTAATGAGTTAATGTGGTTTTGTACAGGTATTCACAAGTGAATTCATTTAAATAAAACTCACCAGATATCTGCACATGTGTTTTCACAAGAGCTGCCATCGTGGAGTCTCACTCAAATAGATCCGTCGAGTACAATTTACACAGCACGAAGGTTCCTACTTCTAAAACAAGAGGACTGAAATTGTTGAAACCTCCTGGAAAAGGCTGCAGATGAGTAAAATCGTAAAAAGATTTTTTTAAATCAGGTGTTATCTTAAACATAGAGAAAAAGTAAAAAGTTTCACATTTCTATCTACAAACTGTGCTCACAAGATTAGAAAAAAAATCTTCTTCTGTCAAGTTTTACAGCCGTAATTCATTGAACAGGTCTGTTACTGAGTTTGCATTACATATGAGGGATGTGCTTCATGTTTATAGGTCCTCGGCTTCAGTAAACAATGATCAATGAACACAAAATCCCCTCTAACAGCACCTGATATTATGAACTTCTAAAAGCTGATCTTGGTCTGTTCTATGATCTGTGTTCAATCATAAAGAGAAACATATCGTCCCCTTTAATACAAGTGATGCTGTGAGAGAATAAATGATAAGTGTTCAGGTATGCATGTGTGTGTTTGTTGGGGGGGGGGGGGTTGTAACTGAATGCTTATCAGGTGAGTGTGAAGTTCATGAACTTTTAAACTGAACAAACTTCATTTCAGTGACAGGAAAAGATAAACGAGTCGGTGTCTCCTGCTGAGAGAGTGACAGACAGATGGGGTGGAGATAATGACGAGGAGTATGAGGATGAAGATGAGTATCATGAAGTGACGGAGGACGAGGGGACAGAGG